CATACATTTATGTTAGCGATTCAGATCTATTGGGACAGATTGAATTCCGTTAAATAGTGCATCTTTCCTCTGGAACTTTTCTCAGGCTTTTTCAGGCTAACCTAAGAGGGAACCTAACAATACAAAATAGTATGGTACTTAGGGATTCAACTGTGCTTTAAAAGAAAAGACTATACAGAGAGCAGAAAAAAGGAACGAGATAGAATCTAAAAAGCTACGTCAGCTTTTCATTGGGCCTCTGTTTTCTAAGCGCCCATCTTGTCATCGCTCAGTAGAGAGAAAAAAGAAGTCCATGAATGTTTCTTCACCTACTCGAACTGAATTTTATATGACAGCGTTTACATTATTTTAAAGTAAAATGTTTTGTTTGTGGAAACATTTCAAACCTATCGATTGGTTCTGCTTATATTCTTTTACATGAAGAGTAAAATCAGTTATTCCTTTTTTAAAAGAAAAGATCATATATATTCTTCCCCATACGCACACATATTTATAGACAGATCTAAACCAATATATGACAGCACTTTGTTGATTGAGGAATGCTACAATAGTTTGGAGAAAGAACTCAAATGAAATGTAATGCTTGCAAATTAAGTGTCAGGAATAAATGGATCTGTCTATCCATTTCTATAGATCTATAGTTTTCATTACTGCCATATTCTGTTCATTTAAATGAAGGCCACAAGCAAGTCTACTCATTTACAGTAAAGTACATGCAACAGAATATCATTAAGATGTTTTCTTCTCATGAATCAGACTTTGGATCTATCTAGCTATCAGGGCTTGACTGGGAGCAACTTCTCAGGTTTTTAGGCAGGCGTTTTCCCAGCCCAGCCTGGAAGTGATGGAGAACCTGGAGCTTTCTGCACCAAAAGAATGATTTTTTCTAAAGAACTTTGGGACATGCAGCATCCATAGCTCCTATAACCTCCTTCATTGCCAGATATAAGTAGCTTAACGCTGTGGATGAACACTGCAATGAAGAACCTCATCTGGTTAGGTTATTTATGTCAGAGTATATTTGTCTTGGATGACAATTTTTCCTTTGGGCTAAAATGTGGTGAAAGCATATTAGGACCCCTGTACTCCAACCTAATGCCTCCCGCATGAATTTTTTGGCCATTCTGCCTGGGAATTTTGGGAATTGCAATTCCCATACTTTTGGGGAAGTGGGCCAGATTGGGAAAAGGCTATTGCAAGAAGTAGCTATTTTGAGCCACTGAGTGAAATGACTGGCAGCTTATAACTAACTGCCCAAATAATAGCCAAATTTCAAAATGCATAAAGATAATCCCTTTACTAGGCAACTGAAGATGCAGAATTCTCCATTAATTCCATGGTTAGAAGAGAGGAGGGGAAAGGGGAAGGGAAAAGCTGCTGATGTTCAAGCCATGTCTAGCAGGTTACATTAAATTAGATAAAATAGTGGAGACTCTCTAGATATGTAAATTAAGTCTCATTAGAGACAGAAGTGGTCTTTAAGGTGACATAAAGATGATGATGATAAATGAACATGTACATAAGTGTGTGTATATATACAGCAAATGACAAATGAACACATACAGTACATGCGTATATACAACAAATGCATTAGAAAATGGACATTTTCTGTATGTCAAATAATCCTTCCAATCAGAGGCAACCTTGGTACTTTCCAAAGGATCCAGCACATGCTTCAAATATGAAGACCAAATATTTCAAAGGAGCACAAACAATGTAATAAAGCACATGGATTCCAGAACCAGCCGTCTTTTTTTCCCCTTCTTCTTCATTCTGAGGGCTGTTTAAATGTTTCCCCTTGAATTGAAGTCCATAAATTTTAGAAATGAGTCTTTGGTAATCAAGTCCACATTGTAATTGGAGAAAATCATTTCTAATTTTCTACTGCATTACCAATATACTCGAAAACCCAAGTTAATGAATCAATCCAATCTGAGAACTATTTGTTCTGTGTGTATGTTCTGCTAGTCAAGGAAAGATTGATTCCAAATGCATACAATATTATGCCCTGGCTGTTTTTCCATTGCATTCCATTGATCAGCATTTTCTTTAACTCGCACTTTATTCCAAGAAGTCCTCTGTTTATATATGATAGAATCCAATTGTGTTGTGTGTTTTTTAATTTTGTTTTATTTACAAGCTATTTTTTCCTCTGTAGCATTTCCATAGAACATGAAAAAGAAGTCCTCATTTTACATTTTACAATATTTATTTTAGACTGATGAATGCCAACACATACTTTCATGGCCTGCTGCTGTAACTTGTAAGTCCAAGGGCCTTTTCCCACTGCTGATTTAGAGTTCTTGCACCCATCCTTAAACTGGAGAAAACTATATCGGCATAAAATGTGCTGTCCCCATTCCCTATCCTGCCTCGATTGCTTGTTTCAAGTCTGTAGGCACCTGGCTTCCTTCCAAGGCAATGGGTGACAAACCCAAGAGATTTTACACATGTTAAGGCTGGGCTTAGTGTCAGAATAAAGGGGAAACACTACTTTAACACTTGTACAACTGGCTTAAGCTGGTCTCTCTTGTGGAATGAAGATGAGATGAAGGCATCATGGGGATCCAGCAGAAAAATGTTGTTGCTCAGAATAGGTGCATGTGTCAAAAGGCCCCAACTGCCTATTGCAAGGTAATTTAATAATCATTGGAAAACTTCCAAGGAAGGGCAGTCTCACTGTCTCTGTGTCTCTTCCTTTAACCAAGCGGTAGGTATACAAATCTGGCAGGCTCTATTCTGGAAGAGTATTAACTGCTGGCAGCAGCAGGGGCCATCACAGGAAAAATATAGTATATCTGTCATGACAAACTTGCTATGAAGCAACACCTTCTGTGGAAAATAAATCACTACCCGCCCTTCAAAAACAATAGATGTAAAAATAAAAAAGCAAAAAGCAAAAGACAGAATGAAAGAAGAAAAAACAAAACGGAAAATGCGTCCCTTTCTGGTAAAGGAAACGGCATTAATAAAAAAGGAAAAGAAAAAACAGGCAGATTTTATGGGCCAAAGCCTTGCCATGTCAATAAAGCCCCCCTCCTTCTCACTCCCCCCCTCCCCCTTCCCCTCCCCCTCCTCTCTTACCCTTTTCTCTCATCCCCTT